TATACTCTAAAGTTGTTTTCAAATTGTTTAAATTAATTTATTTTTAGAAAATCTGAATTCTGACAATTCTAAGTTCTGAACCTTTCGTAGAATTTTGAAAAATGAGGGCTTTTTGAACATTCAGAGTTTAATTTTATAATAATATATAATAAATTTGGAAATTGAGATTTGAGAATTCGGAAACGAGAAACTAATAATTGAGAACTGGAATGTCTGAATTTGGGAAACGAGAATAGGAAATTAAAAATTTGGAACCTTAAGAGTCACCAGTTGAGGATTGGAGACTTTATAAATTGGAACTGAAAAAAGCGGTCTGTGAAATTCGGAAATTAATAACTGATAATCTCAATTCGGGGAACTTGAAATTGGAGATTAACAACTGAAAATTTCAAAGTTTGCACACTGAACAATAATTCATAACTGAGAATAGGAGTTTTTGAAATTGGGAATTGATAATTAGAAATTAAGCATTAAAAGCTCCGAATTCAGGAATTCCAAATGAAGAATTTAAAAAAACTGAAATTTAAAAACAACCAAACCAAATTTTGAAATTTCTATTCTTCGGGAATTTAAAATAAAAGTAATAGAAAAATAATAACTGTTTGGAATTTAGAATGATGGGAAATTCGAACTTGCAATTTGAAAATTTTCGACTGCAAATTCCAAATTTGAAAGCGAAGCCAAATTTAAAACGAATTGAGAATTCGCAATAGGAAATAGGAAAGGATATTTGGGAATAAGTAACTAAGAATTTAGGAATTGAAAATATCAAAAATTTGGCACTAGGAATTAGCTTTTAGAATTTGGAAACTGAGAATTGAGAATTCGGAAATCAGAATAGGAATTTAGACCTGGAAACTAAAGAGCCACGGGTTGAGAATTTTTAGAATAGGAATTGAGACCTTCTAAATTGGAATTTAAGAATTCTGGAACGGAAAAGAGCGGTCTGTGAAATTCGGAAATTGATAACCCAGAACCTGAATTCGGCGAACTTGAAATTGGAAATTTACAACTGAAAATTTCAAAGTTTGCACAGTGAGCAATAATTTATAACTGAGAATAGGAGTTTCTGGAATTGGGAATTGAAAATTAGAAATTAAGCATTACAAGCTGCGAATTCAGGAATTTGGAAAATGAGGATTTCAAAATGGGAAATTGACAATTGAGAACTGAGACAGAATTTTGGAATTTCAAATACGAAGATTTTTGTTCTCCAGGAATTCGAAATAATTAATAGCGGTAAAAAATTTAAATAACTGTTTGGAATTTGGAATGATGGGAAATTCGAACTCGCAGTTTGAAAATTCTGAATTGACAACTTCGTAATTTGAAAGTGAAGCCGGAATTTAAAGTATGGGAAGCGCCAATTGAGAACTCTAAGAATAAGGAACTAAGAACTTAGGAATTTAAAATTTGAAAATATAAAATAATTGGCATTAGGAACTAGCTTTTAGAATTTGGAACTGAGATTTGAGAATTCGGAAATCAAAATAGGAATTAGAGACCAGGAAACTAAAGAGCCACGGGTTGAGAATTTCAGAATTTCCAATTAGAAACTTAAAATTCTGGAACTGAAAGAAAGATGTGTGAAATTCAAAAATTGGTAACCGAGAAGTTGGATTCGGGGAACCTAAAATTGGAAATTCCTATTTGTAGTTCAACAAATAGAATATGAAAAGTGAAAATTCAAAATCAGAAATTTCGAAATTTGCCAACTGAGCAATGAAAATTTAGCATTTAGGCCCTCATAATTCATAACGGAAAATGGAAATTTTGGACTTGGGAACCGAAAATCAGGAATTTAGGAACACAGACTAGAAACTAAACACTATGATCTACGAATTCAGTAATTCAAAATTAAGAATTTAAGATGTAAAAAGTGTGAAGAATTTAGGAACTTGGAATTGGAACTATATAAAGTTTCGCATTGGAAATTGCTATTTTAGAATTTGAAAATTGAGATTTGAGAATTCGGAAACCGGAAACTAATAATTGAGAACTGGAATATTAGAATTTGGAAAACAAGAACAGGAAATTGAAACTTTCTAAATTGGAATTTAAAAATTCTGGAACTGAAAATAGCGGTCTCTGAAATTCGGAAATTGATAACTGAGAACCTGAATTCGGGGCACTTGAAATTGGAAATTAACTGGAAATTTTAAAGTTTCAAAAATTTATAACAGAGAATAGGAGTTTTTGGAATTGGGAATTGAAAATTAGAAATATAGCACTACAAACTGCGAATTCAGGAATTCGAAATGAAGAATTTAAAAATTGAAATATTGTGACAATTTTGAAGAATTTAAAGAGTTGGAAGATTCTAAAAATCCAAAGATTCGAAAGAATCTGAAGACTACGGAGATTCTGCACATTCCAAAGACTCTAACAATTTTGAAGATTTTAAAGATTCCAAAGATTGTGAAGGTTCTAAGTATTTCAAAGGCCGAAGATTCCGAAAAATCGAAAGATATTGAAGATTCCAAAGATTCTATATAAAGATTCCATAGCTTCCAGAAATTTCACAAATTTCAAAAACTTCGTATATTCCGAAACAAGGGATCCCAGAAACTCAAAAAATTCCTGATAGTCTAAAACTCTAGAGATTCCAGAGAATCTTAAGATTCGAAAAATCTGGAGATTCTGGAGATTTTGAAGATTCTGAAAATTCTGGAGATTCTGAAGATTCTAAAGATTGTATATAAAGATTATAAAGTTCCAAAGCTTCCAGAAATTCGAAAAATTCCGAAGATTCTAGAAATTCTGAAAATTCTGAAGATTTTGAAGATCCTGGGTATTTCAGAGGCTGAAGATCCCAAAAAATCGGAAGGCATTGAAGATTCCAAACATTCTATATAAAGATTATAAAGATTCCAAAGCTTCTAGAAATTCCACAAATTTCAAAAAATTCCTGATAGTCTAAAACTCTTGAGATTCCAGAGATTCCAGAGATTCTTAAGAATCCAAAATTGCGAAGATTCTGGAGACTGAAGATTCCAAAGATTCTGGAAATTCTGAAAATTCCAAAGATTTATAATGCCCCAAAGTTTCCAGAAAGTACAGAAATTTAAAAAATATCAGACATTCCGAGAAAAGAGATTCCAGAAATTGAAACTGCGAATTCAGGAATTCGAAATGAAGAATTTAAAAATCGTCCATTACGACAATTTCAAATCGGGAACTTGACAACTAAGAATTGAGATTTAAAAACATGTTTAAACAGAATCTTGCAATTTCAAGTACGAAGATTTTTATTCTTCAGGAATTTGGAATGATGGGAAATTCGAACTTGCAAAGTGAAAATTCTGGATTGACAACTTTGGAATTTGAAAATGAACCCGGAATTTAAAATGCGAGAAGTGGAAAATGGGAACTCACAATGGGAAATGGGTATCTGAAAATAAGGAACTGGGTATTTAGGAATTTGGAATTGGAGATATAAAAATTTTTGCATTAGGCATTAGTATTTACAGTAAAATAATTTTTTTTAATGTAGTTTCGTATATCTTTCAAAATTTTCAAAATTTCTTGACCGATAAATATTACAATTATTTTTTGATTTTGCTTGAAATGAAAAGTGTTTTCGGTGCTCGTTTCACAACGTCCATTTTTTCAAAATTTTCGAAATTCTCTTATTTTTGATTAATTGTACGTATTAAGCTCAATTTAATTTTTTCGTCTTAAAAAGAGGAGTTTAAAAAACGTAATTTCCACTCTTAAAGCACAAAATCAAATTTTCAGAATTTTCACACTGGTGAAATCGTATGTGGTCTTTTTATTTTTCATTTAAAAAAACTTCAATTGAACGAAATTGAAATTTTGCAGTTGTGAAGCTACAAAAATAATATATGAATCATAAACATACTACAAAATTGATAGTGAAATGTTAATTATTAAATAAACGTAAAAAACAACGAAAAAAGACGAATATTTTTCGAAAATTCTGGTAACAGTACTATTTTAATTATTGAACCAGCAGCTTACTCGATTGCAATTTCATAAACACGAATTTCCAATTTTAAGATACCGATCTCGGAAAACCCCATTTAAAACCCATACACGATTACAGCGACGTTTCAATCATCCTAACATTAGTAACATTTATAATTTCTTAATCCGCCATCGACCAGTTATTCAACAAAACAGCCCATGACAAAACCCACCAGGAATGTCCATATTTCACACCTCAGAACGCATCCAGCTCTCTTCCTTTCCATTAATTTTTTGCCAACTCTTAAATCATTCAATTAGTTTAACATTTCCAAACACGTGTTAAGGCCGCGATTTTTTCTCAACAGCCTTCAGTCTAATTCGATTTTCTTGTATTTTGATTCGCGGACACACTTAAACGAGAATTTATCTACTCAATGCGAAAAGTTTAATTCTGAAACGCCACATTAAAACGGCAAAATCCTAATTTACGGTGTGAAAATTCAGCTAATGGGAGCGGGTTTTGAAAGAAGATGAGTTGAGTGATAATAAATAAGGTAGATTATAGAAATTGAGCGAACGTTGCCATTTGTAGAAATTTGTGAAAACGGTTTTTACGGCAAAACTTACTTTCACGAGATTTATTATTACACACTACTTTCGAAGGTTCGGGGCGATTCGGCTAAATATCTAATAATCGCCTCTTAAACACAGAGAGCTTTAATTAATACGTTTTATATTTTCCTCGAGTAAAGCTTTAGTGCTCTGGAGATTTATGTATAGAAATATTAGTCTCAAGTAGTCGTAAATTATCACTACTAACGCCGAGTTTTAAAAATTTAAGACGTAATTAAAGACCTACATAAAAGAATTTTCAGATAATCAAGCATCATAAATGTCACGTGTAATAAAAGTTTGTGTTTGAGTTGATAAAAATAAAAGAGAGAGGGCGGGTTTAAATATTCCGAAAAAATAAAGAGAACAAACCAACAACGGCTTCCAGCAGACATGCAAAACTTGAATCAACAAAGTATGATTGATAGTGTTTTGATGTGACATCACCTCCAACGTACCGTAAATGGATCCTGAAACAAACAAAAGGGAAAAGTTAAAAACATGATTCTTTCTAGTGCTTCCACATTTTTCATTATTTCACGAAAAACGCACACATAATGGTAATAATTTCTCCCGATGACGTCACGCGAACTTTGGAGGGGTGGATTAAAGAGCGCACCGAAACCCATATCTTCCCACCGCTCTCGATACAAAAACGCCGCCAATCTCCCTGAATTACCTTATTATTAAACGCATAAATACGTCACACAACACAGAACACATAGATTAGCCGGCGTACCATCATGGGAGTAAATTAATTCGCACGACGATCGGCCGAGACGTGTCGAATTGCCCCGGTGAAAAACTGTGATCGTGCTAACCAGACTTCCAGCGTTCGATGGAAATTCGCAATCGGGCTCATTACGGCCCTGCGCTTCGTGCGACCGCAGCTTCCGCCGCTCTGCCTTGTAATCAACGCAAATCGAACCATTATTGGCAATCAATGATCCGATAATAAACGTTTGCTGCACTGGATTGCATGATTTAGTGGTGGCGGCGAGCACTTCGCCGGTACGAAAATGACGCCGGCTCTTCGGGGGCTGAATAATGGATCGCGGGGACAACCGACACGGTGGCGCTGTGGCGGCTTGTTGTTTTGTACGTGGTTTATTCAAAGAGCCGAAACTGGACTTTATTTCTCTTGGTATTTTTACTTCCTGAGCGTGAGCTAAATTTTGTGTGTATATTACGAATTTGGTGGTGATGGTAAAACGCAAACCATATACTCCTGTATTTGTGGTTTATGAATCTATCTTGATTTTGTTTATTAGTATATTTAATCCCAATTTTTTAGCGGGTCGGATGGATAAAAATCCTTCGTTTTTTATTCAAGTCTCTATTTTATTTGCGGCTTCATCAACCAAATAGAAATAAACATAGCATAAAATAAATACAATTACAAATTAAACATGTTGAGGTCATTATAAGATAAGAAAATTAAATCTTGTTTTTTGTTATTTTTAGAATTTTTCAATTTCTCAATTCTTAAATTTGTCAATTTTTTTTAAATTTAGATTTTTCGATTTTTTTTTATTTTTTGATTTCTCAATTTACCGATCTTTGAGTTTTACGATTTTTCAATTTTCAATTTTGGCGTTCTTAAATTTTCGATTTTTCAATTTCTCGAATAATCGACTTTTGATTTTCGCATTTTTCGATTTCCCGATTTCGATTTTTCGACGTCTCGAGATCTCGATTTTTCAGTTTTTCAATTTTTCAGTTTTTCGATTTTTCAATTTTTCAATTATTCGATTCTTCATTTTTTCTTCGATTTTTCAGATTTTCAAAATTTCAGTTTTGAATTTCTCGATTTTCAATTTTTCGATTACCTAACTTTTCGATATTTCGATTCCAAAAAATCTGGAGACTGGAATCTCTGGGACCTTTGGACTCTTTATAATTTTAAAAATCCCATATATTTCGAGATTCTAGAGATTCTAAAGACAGTAAAGAATATAGGTATGAAGATTCTAGGCATGACGAAGATAAAAGATTCCAAAAAACCTGACGACTTTGAGGTTAGAAAAATTCTGAAAAATATAAAGATTCCGAAAAATTTGGAAGATTCCAAAGGTTCCAGAGATTTTAGGAATTCTAAAAAAATCAAAATTTCTAACAATTCTGAAAATTCTAAAGATTTCGAAGATTCTGAAGAATATAAAGATTCCAAAAATTTCAAAGATCTCAAAGGTTCCAGAAATTCTAGGAATTTTCAAGCTGAGATATATTGTCACAATTTTGAAGATTTTAAAGATTTGGAAAATTCTAAAAATCCAAAGATTCTAACAATTCTGAAGATTTTAAAGATTCCAAAGATTGTAAAGATTCTAAGTATGTATTTCAAGGGCTGATCGGCAGATATTGAAGATTCCAAAACTTCCAGAAATCCCACAAATTTCAAAAATTTCGTTTAATTCGAATTCAAAAAATTTCTGATACTCTAAAACTCTAGGGATTCCAGAAAATCTTAATATTCGAAAAAAATTCTGGAGATTCTGAAGATTTCAAAGATTTCTAGATAAAGATTATAAAGATACAAAGCTTCCAGAAATTCCAGAAATTTTAAAAATATATTCCGAGACAAGAGATTCCAGAAATTCGAAAAATTCCTGATAGTTCGAAAGTTTAGAAATTCCAGAAGTTCGTAAGATGCGAAAAATTCCAAAGGTTCTATATATAGATTATAAAGTTTTCAAAGCTTCCAGAAATTCCAGAAATTTCAAAAATTCTTGAGAGTCCAAAACTCTAGAGATTCCCGAGATTCTGAAGATTCGAAAAATCCCGAAGATTCTGGAGATTCTGAAGATTCTGAAAATTCTGGGGATTCTGAAGATTCCAAAGATTCTATATAAATATTATAAAGTCCCAAAAGCTTCCAGAAAATCCAGAAATTAAAAAAATATCAAATATTCCGAGAAAAGAGATTCCAGATTTACGAAAAAGTCTTGATAGTTCCAAATTTTAGAGATTCCAGATGTTCTTAAGATTCGCAAAATTCCGAAAATTCCAGAGATTCTGAAAATTCTGAAGATTTTGAAGATTCCGAAGATTGTGAAGATTGTGAGTATTTTAAAGGCTGAAGATTCCCAAAAAATTGAAAAACATTGAAGATTCCAAAGATTCTATATAAGATTACAAAGATTCCAAAGCTTCTTGACATTCCAAAAATTAAAAAAATTTCGGATATTCCGAAACAAGAGATTCCAGAAATTCAAAAAATTCCTGTAGTCCAAAACTCTAGAGATTCCCGAGATTCTTAAGATTCGAAAAATTCCGAAGATTCTGGAGATTCTGAGTATTTTAAAGGCTGAAGATTCCAAAAAATCGAAAAACATTGAAAATTCCAAAGATTCTATATAAAGATTCCAAAGCGTCCTGAAATTCGAAAAATTTCAAAAATTTCGGATATCCGAAACAAGAGATTCCAGAAATTCAAAAATTCCTGTAGTCCAAAACTCTAGAGATTCCCGAGATTCTTAAGATTCGACAAATTCCGAAGATTCTGGAGATTCTGAAGATTTTGCAAATTCTGGAGATTCTGAAGATTCCAAAGATTCTCTATAAAGATTATAAAGTTCCAAATTTTCCAGAAATTCCAGAAATTTAGAAAAATATCAGATGTTCCGAGAGAAGAGATTCCAGAAATTCGAAAAATTCCTGACAGTTCCAAACTGTAGAGATTCCAGATGTCCTTAAGATTCGAAAAATTCTGAAGATTCTAGAGATTCTGAAAATTCTGAAGATTGTGAAGATTGTGAGTATTTTAAAGGCTGAAGATTCCAAAAAATCGAAAAACATTGAAAATTCCAAAGATTCTACATAAAAATTATAAAGATTCCAAAGCTTTCTGAAATTTCAAAAATTTTGAAAATTTCGGATATTCCGAAACAACAGATTCCAGACATTCAAAAAAATCCTGTAGTCCAAAACTCTATAAATTCCTGAGATTCTTAAGATTCGAAAAATTCCGAAGATTCTGGAGATTCTGAAGATTTTGCAAATTCTGGAGATTCTGAAGATTCCAAAGATTCTCTATAAAGATTATAAAGTTCCAAATTTTCCAGAAATTCCAGAAATTTAGAAAAATATCAGATGTTCCGAGAGAAGAGATTCCAGAAATTCGAAAAATTCTGAAGATTCTAGAGATTCTGAAAATTCTGAAGATTAAGAAGATTGTGAGTATTTTAAAGGCTGAAGATTCCAAAAAATCAAAAAATATTGAAAATTCCAAAGATTCTCTATAAAGATTCCAAAGTTTCCTGAAATTCCAAAAATTTCAAAAATTTCGGATATTCCGAAACAAGAGATTCCAGACAATCAAAAAATTCCTGTAGTCCAAAACTCTAGAGATTCCTGAGATTCTTAAGATTCGAAAAATTCCGAAGATTCTGGAGATTCTGAAAATTTTGCAAATTCTGGAGATTCTGAAGATTCAAAAGATTCTATATAAAAATTATGACATTCCAGAAATTCCAGAAATTTAGAAAAATATCAGACATTCCGAGAAAAGAGATTCCAGAAATTTGAAAAATTCCTGATTGTTGCAAACTTTAGATTCCAGAGGTTCTTAAGATTCGAAAAATTCCGAAGATTCTAGAGATTCTGAAAATTCTGAAAATTCCGAAGATTATGAAGATTCTGGGTATTTTAAAGGCCCAAGATTCCAAAAAATCTAAAAATATTGACGATTCCAAAGATTCCATACAAAGATTATAAAGATTCCAAACCTTCCAGAAATGCCAGATTTCAAAAATTTCGGATATTCCGAAGCCAGAGGCTCCGGAAATTCAAAAAATTCCTTATTGTCCAAAACTCTAGAGATTCCAGAGATTCCCGAGATTCTTAAGAATCGAAAAATTCCGAAGATTTTGGAGATTCTGAAGATTCTGAAAATTTTGAAGATGCTGAAGATTAAAAAAATTCTGAAAATTCTGAAGATTACAAACATTCTCGAAAAATTCTAAAGATTCTGCAGAATCTGAGTACTTTAAAAGCTGAAGATTCTAAAAATCTGAAGATTTTGAAAATCCTGAAAATCTTGAAAATTTTGGAAATTTGGAAAATTTAGAGGTTTCTGAAGATCATAAAAATTCCAAAGGTTCCAGAGATCTTAGAAATTTTAAAAAATCCGTATATTCCAGAACCTTGAAGGTTCCAGGAATTCTAAAGTCTCGGGATATTTCGGAATTCTAGATGTTCCCATTTTTAAATTTTTTCGATTTTTCGATTTCCCGATTTTTCAAGGTCTCTATTTATCAGTTTTTCAACATTTCAATTTTGGGAATTTTTCCATTTCTGGATTTTTCAATTTTTCAAAATTTTAATTTTCCGATTTTTTAATTTTAGATTTTTCAATTTTTCCATATTTTGATTTTTGGTTTTCCGATTTTTTGCTTTTAGGCGTTTTGATTTTCCAATTTTTCGATTTCCTAATTTTTCAACATTTCAGTTTTTGAACTTTTTAAACTTG